TATATACAAACACACACACACATATATATATATATATATATACATGTGAATATATGAATATGCACGTTTATAAACATACACACACACACAAACAGCAATAACAGAATACACATAGATGGACCCCATTGCAACAAACTATACCACACTCGGGCAACAGCTATCTACAACGCGCGCGAATGAAACCGGTAATATATATATATATATATACTTCTCTCAGGGAGATTGCATTCGGCTGCACGACTTCAAGTTCAAACAAACAAACCCCATTTACATCAGCACAGTAAACCATGATATGTTAACGTCGGCATGAATATAGACATATCTGAAGAACCGATTGCACAGACATACAGTGTCCAGCTCGATATATGCATTTACTTTGTTAAATATATACGCACATGTTCGTTAAAGAAGATATCAGAACTCCCACGCAGGTTTATACGTGAGTAATCTGGCACCCCAATACATAAATACCAGTCCGTTGCGGAGTGAACAGATAGCCAGCCATACAAATAACAGTGATAGGAACGAAGAACTGGATTCTAAAAAAAGAAACGCAAACTTCTGCGTAAGGTGCAATCTACCTTCCAAGGAATGCCATAAATGTACGTACTTGTATTTGCTGCATCAAGTACGCTTGCACATGGAACTGTGTATCAGCGCTGAACCGCAGCTCCAAATTATTAAAACACATACACAGGTCTGGACACATACATACGACTCAAAACAGATATGTAGTTAGCGAGCAGTTCAGTACCTTGGGCATCTCATCGGTGTACTCTCGCGCCGATAAGTGAAGTGCTGGAGCTTGCGGCCAATTGGGTGCCTGTCGTAAGAGGGGTCCGCTCCGAATACCGCTTCGGATGAAGCGTGCTACACTCATAGTATTATACAGCTACGTTATGTGCAGAATGTGCACTAAACATGTGATATATATTGCCCAGCAAATTCTTTGAACAGTCGCCCATGTACTGATCCCGACCAGACAATTCAACTTCTGGTCACCAATTGCTCTAAGAATAGCATATATATTATATACATTCTCAATTCTCATACTGTTATTACTAATGTGCACCTTATGAATATATGATTAGGCCCGAATAGTCGAATACACTCTATTTTAATGTCGGTCGGTTCATTATACCCTAACTTAGGGTGGTTCTTAACGAGGAGTTTTCAATAAATACGTTTAATTAAAGGTATTTTTCAACCAATGAGAACACATAGTTTTTGTTTTTCGAAAATTCATTAAACAACAAGGTGCTCAGAATTTGTTGTTAAAGGCTAACGAAAAACGAGAATACGTACCGTTAAAGTACGTTTGTCGACTGTGACGTAGAATAAGTAAAACCATTTCATTGGTAGAGTGGAAAACCGCCCTTTTACAAATGTGGTGTCAAATGTTGTGTGTTTTCACTGTTTTGAGCGCTCAATTCAATTGTGCACACACACATATATGAAGTTGTCGGTTATAGGTAGATCCACACTCAATTATCTATGGAAATAGTACAGAGGGAACATAGTCGAATACGAACATAAAACGAAGAACATGAAGGAATCATATTGCACAAGTGTTATTGACTCGCAAACTATACCATGTCGGCATCGCAACAGCAGGCTAATGTAGCATCGAACTCGAACAATATGAGGACGCAGCACACAGCATCGACTTCCTCAGGGATTGACACCAATCCTAGGCAGAATGCTAGCACACCGCCGTCGAAAAAAATTGATGGCGATCACTTCTCAAGCGTCTTCGAGCTCTTCAAGTACTTCATCGGATTCGCAAGGAGAGACGGGTTTTCAAGGAGACAAAGAGTGTAACGAGGCGCACACAGCAGCCAAATTATTCAGCATGGCTTCGTGAATTGGCGTACAAAGTACACATACGAAGGAAGAAATTCTAGGTCTTACCGTTAGAGGAGTACCTGTCAAACGTGATGCAGCAGGCGAAATTATGTATTCACGAGAGCATGTTTATGATGTACATGACAAGAAGGGTTTTAACGTCCAGTCCAAACAGCGAATAATTCAGGCGTTGTATGATAATGATAGAGCGACAACTGGCCTCTAAATATAACACCAAAGAAGAAGCACAAAGTAATAAGCAAGACAACGGTGAAGAAAGACAAACAAGAAATTCCAGTAAAACAGAAAGATGAGGCGATGACGCTTCGAAAGACTGACAATGCATTTGCACGATTCTGTGCAATTATTACGGATGAGAAACACTACGATGGGCTTGTATCACTAGAAGAGGGTGATACACGAGCTATGCTTGACAATAAGGCATCCGGAGACAGTAACGTATTTTGGGTCGATGTAACTCAAGACTTTATGAATCCCGATTATGCATGGAACATGACAAACGAAATAATTCTAAGTGATGGTGAAGCCGATAAAAGCGATTCCGACAGCGATGACGATAATGTTGACGATGGTATTCTGCGAGCACGAGTGACTAAGCACGCTGACAAGTTAGCTGAACGGCGTAGAAAGAAGTCACAGTATAAAGCCTCTCCTCCACTCGAACAGTGGAAAAGGGACTGGGATGCCCCGAATGCTACCCAGAAGAGCATGGTTGAGCAAATAGGACGAGTCGATCCTATGGATATGACATTTACAACACAGGCCCGAAAGATGTTTGGAGACATTATTTCCAAGACAGCCGTGAGAAACAGACTAATCTCTTGGTGGAAAGATGCCAAATCTAGCTTTGCGATTGTCCAAAAAAAATAAGGAGAAATCTGGCCATCATGCGCCCACATTTATGGATTTCTTTAATGGTAAGATTTGTGCACTGATGTTGTACACGTACATATTTCCACGTGGGGAGGGTGCTTTAGAAGCACTCTGTGCTGTTGCAGGAGGCCCACTAACTACAGGGATGTCTAGTGCGATTGAATGGGAAGACACAGAAGTTTCTGATTGCGCTGAAACCGGTGTGTCCACAACATCAACTGGACGTACACGCAGCGCCAAACATGAAAAGGAGCTAAAGAGGAAAGAAAAGGCCATGAAAGAATTGGCGCGTTTAAAGGAAAGCGACGAAGTTATGAACGAAACATTTTTAAAGGGGGTACAGATGTTCATTGATAGCGACAACGTTCGAGACATAGCTACACTTTCAAAAGAAATACTGGAACTCAAGAAAGCTATACTAGAAGTTGATGATGAATTTTTTACCAAAGCACTCCAAAAGGCAAAAGATGAGTTTAAGGCTCTACTAGGTTAATGTGTATACTACATAGTGTATAATGTAAAGAAATG